CTCACGCTCCCCCTCTCCCCCAGGAGTCGGAGGTCCAGCGGCCGCCGCCGCTGCTGCCAAAGCAGCCGCCAAAGCAGCCAAGTACGGTAAGCCAGGATCTCTCTGGGGTTATCCCACATGTCCTGTCTCCTGCTGCCTCCCCACCCCAGGCTGCTCCCCTCATCAGGGCTGAGGCCCAGCACTGCACGGGGTCCCTGTGGTCGGGGCGAGGGTTGAGCTCTCCACAGGGCTGTATGTGGGATGAGGTCCTGGCTGTGTCAGGGGGTGCTCTCCAGAGAGCTGGTCTGCATGGAGGGTCCCAGGTTCACCATCCATACACCTTCTCATACATTAGTCCATCCACCCACCCCTCCACACCGCCAGCCAGCCACCTCAGTATCCATCTGTCCACTCATCCGTCCATCCGTCCACACCTCCATCCTTCCATCCATCCTGCCATCCATCCAACCACTCCACATCCATCCACATATCCATCCATCCACCCCACCATCCATCCAACCACTCCACATCCATCCAGGTATCCATCCATTCCACCATCCATCCACCCCGCCATCCATCTATCCACTCCACATCCAGCCAGCCAGCCACCCAGCCACCCTAGCATCCACCCACCCCACTGTTTATCCATCCATCCATCCATCCATCCATCCCAGCCTGCCATGCCTTTTCAGCTGGCTCCTTCCACTACCTCTCTTCCTGAGCTGAAGCCCAAATCCTTCCCTCTCTCCTCGCAGGAGCAGGTGGCCTGGCTCCTGGTGTGGGTGGTCTAGTTCCCGGCGTGGGCGGCCTTGCTCCTGGTGTAGGTGGCCTGGTTCCTGGAGTGGGTGGCCTGGTCCCCGGCGTTGGAGGTGTCCCAGGTGAGGAGGAGGAAGGCGGGGGGTGGTGGCAGCCTGGCCGGTGCGGGAGCAGGTCTGGGGCAGGACAGGCATGAGGAGGACCTCGGTGGTCTCCATCAACTCATGGCCATCCCTTGGGGGATACAGACAAGGTGGGAGGGGTGGGCTCTGTCCAGCATTGCTGGAGAGGACCCCCCCCAGGAACACTGACCCCCCTCTTGCCGTCTCTGCTCAGGGGTTGGAGGTCCGGCCGCAGCAGCAAAAGCAGCAGCGAAGGCAGCCAAATTTGGTGAGTCGCTGGAGAAGCCCATCGCTCGCGGCTCAGCCCACAGCAGGCAGCCCTACCCGCCCGGTGGGCATCTGGGGTGTCCCCATGAGCCCTGGCGCGGCACAGACTGGTCCAGGGGGAGCTGGGGGGGCTTCAGGGGTGGGTACCCCACACTGGGCATATCATCCATCCCACGGGAGTATGGGGATCACCCGGGGATCACACCCACGCTGTCTCACGCCCCCTCGCCGCAGCTGCCGA